AAGTGACCCATATAAAACATAGTATTACTATGATTGTGTTTTTCCCCAAACATGCTGTTATCCTTTGTTACCTTTTGTATGTAAAAACGTTACCCTTTATATGCACAAATGTTACCCTTTTTATGCATAAAAGTGACCTATATAAAACATAGTATTACTATGATTGTGTTTTTCCCCAAACATGCTGTTATCCTTTGGTATGAATGTTGTGTGAATATTATGCTAAAACATATACTTATTATATTTAATTACAAATGGTAGTCCAATTGATGCTTCTGGTTTAGATCTTAGAGGATCATTTGTTGGTGTGGTAAGAGAAACTTTTGAAGAAATTTTGGAATTGTATGAAAAACATGTTGCTATATTGGGGTTTTCAATAAGAAAGCATACAACAAGATACTTCACACACACAAAGATAGTCCTAAAGAAAAATCCACTAGTAGAAAAAGTCAAATGAGCACCGCAAAATGCACACTGGTTTTTAAAAATCGGTGCAAAAAAAAATAGGCGGGATTGAGGGAAAGAGTAATCGCACCGGTTCAAACCAAACCGGTGCGAAAATGAGTTAATCGCATCGGTTCGAACCGGTGCGAATGTTAATGTTAAAAAAAAAATCTTGCCCTGTTATCTTCTTTCTTTCTCTTTCCTTGATCTCTTTCCCTTTCCTTTTCTCTCTCCTTCTTCACCGCCGGCCACCTACTATGTCAATGTTAATTCAATTGACACCACCGCCGGCTAGATCTCGAAGCCACCGCAGGCCAGATCCCTCAGCCACCGCCGCTTTCCCTTTCCTTTTCTCTCTCCTTCGATCTCCTTCTCTATAACTGCACCGCAAGGAACGCCGCTCTCCTTCTCCTTCTCAGTTCGAAAGTCAGCCTGGTTTCTGCTCTTGATTATTGGTATGTATATACTTTCCTTTTTTTGATTGTTAATTTGATTTATTTTTCAATTTCTAGGGTTTTTGTTGTTTGTAAATGTTTGTTTAATTTGCTTAGGGGTGGAAATTTGGGTATCGTCAAGGTTTGTGGGTATCGTTCTTAAAAACTTGACCTTTCTCTCTCCTCTGCTCAAGTAGATTCATGAATTATTTGCTTTATTTTGATGAAATTTGCGATTTTTGTTGATGAATGTTGTTGAAATTTACGTTTTTTGTTGATGAATATTGATGAATGAAGTGAGGTTTTTGTTGATGAATTTCGGTTTTTGTTGAGGAATGATGACGAAAACCAAGATCTCAGTTCGCCAGGGTTCGTTTCCGAGGTTGTAACTGAACCACCAAAGAATTCCCAGAATGTAGCTCTGGTGCCTGTGGGTCAGTGAAACGCACCACAGGTTTTACTAACCCCAGTTCACGAAAGGTCCTGAAAAATGCTCCAACTGAGTCTCCCTATTCGAAATGAACTTGCTAAATTTATTTTAATTCTATACTTAGAAACATGTTTAAGTGGCGGATGAACGATTCATGTTGTATACCAGCATACATTGTTGGCGGGCTGGATTATTGTTGCTGGTTATTGTTGCTAGATTATTGTTGCTGGATTATTGTTGTTGGTTTTTGTTGATGAATTTTGGTTTTTGTTGAGGAATGATGATGAATTTTGCGAATTTTTGAATTAACTTTACTCATAACATATATGAATTAGTTTCGGGTTTGGCTTTTTTTGATGAATTCATTTCGATTTTGGCCTTAATTATGGATTATTCTTCTGATTTTGATCCAAGTGGTTGATGAATTGTCCCTTTAAATGCATACATTCTTTGAATTTCAAAGATGTGTGTCCCATCCTAATTGTAGATAACTCTAATTTGAATGCTTCATGGATAAAGCAGAAATTAGGGTGCTCCTTTGATTAGGTAACTTGATTTCCCTTTTATATGTCGTCCCTTGAATTTATTGGATTATGTCCCTTGATGTTGTTGATGAAATTTCTGATTTTATTGTTGACTAAGATGGAGGATTGTGTGTTGCTTGTTGATAAATGGTTGCTAGCAACTGTGATTTGTTGCTGGCCAGGGGATGTATGATTGTGATATGTTGTTGTTATTGATGTTGGTGTGTCTGTGATATGTGCCTGAGTTTCTTGGATTATGTCCCTTTTTAATGTCCCTTGATTAATGTTATTTGGAATATGTCCCTTAATTATATCCATTGTTTAATGTTGCTTGGAATATGTTCCTTGATTATGTCCCTTGATCAATGTTGCTTGGAATATACTCCTTGACTATGTCCCTTTTTAACTGACCCCAATATAACAAACCAATGCTTGTCCCTGTTTCACCCCAATGTCTGTCCATATGTCTGTCCCTGTTTTACCCCATTGACTATCGATATGTTTGTCCCTGTTGTCAATGATGAAACCTTTGCTTGAGAGAGCCCAAATTCTGGTGAAGTGATGAATAATATTTGCCATTGACCTTTCATGAACCATTTGTGTTCTGGGATTGTAGTCTTTAGGCATAATTGGTAGTCATGGAAGAAGGTGGGTTGTAATTTACCAAAAAAAAAGGTGGGTTGTTAGTGATAGTTATGGGGGAACTGAGACTCTTAAACGGCCTCCCCTTTTTTTTTTTCTCCTATCCATTTGTCTATGATGAAAGTCCAATATATGAGATAGTATACCCAAATGATAATCATCACCTATTTTCCATTAGATTCCAGTCAATACATTTTATGTTTGATTTGTTGAGACGTTTGGGCAGATTTGTGAACTGAATTATGGGTTTATTATTAATGATGCATAGGGAAATCTGAGACCTTTATATGTGCACATTGTTCTCATACATAATTTCTTACATTAGTTAGTAAATATCTGGGCTGTGAGCTAGTCACCCTGAATAAGGTTTTATTAGGCTGATTTGAATTTGAAGGATATTTATGCAAGAGTGAATTATTGTTATTGCTTATGAGGATATGTAAATTGAGGATTGGAAAGTAATAATCTAGCTGTTTGTAATAGATTATCTCCTTGGGAAGTAATATGAAAAGGAATTCTTCTTGGCGTTTCAGCACTTAGTTTGAGAGATAAGTGTGCTCTATTCTAAAGAAAATATCTTATTGAATTTTTTTAGTGTTTAATTGCTCTCAAGTGTTCAAATTTGAATTTCTGGAATGAATGTTGTACACTCTTTTTCATTTACTTGTATACTTCTGAATCATACAAGAGTACTATGTGAAGGTGTTTGAATATGTTGGTTTTGTACAGGAGAACCAGACCAAAAAAAAAAGCGTTGCAGTGTTTTTTAGCATCGGTTAACCGGTGCCAAAAGTATTAATTCGCACCGGTTAACCGGTTTAAAACTAAAAATTGCCACCAGTTATTTTCCATGCTTGTGTTCCATATTGGAATATTAAATTTTGTTTGCTTGTTTAGCATGTCAGCCATATATTTCTATTGCTTGGTCAATTAGGTCAAAGGCGTTGATGGAAAGGACAGGGTTGTGGTTACTTTTGATGGGAAGTATTTGCCATACACTGAGTAGGTCAGTTGGATTTATCATATTCACTTTGTTTATGATTATAAAAAGTTCCATTGAAAGTTTGAAACATTCAAATACCTTTCTTGTTGTAGCCTGATAAATTTAGTTCTTTTTTTTTTTTTTTTTGTTTGTTTGTTTGTTTAGATGGAAAGACTAATTATGTACAAATAGGGGTTTAAATGGTTATAAACTTGCAAATTTGGCCACTGTCATTAGTTTCATACTATTACACTAATTGTTTTTGTTGCCATTCCCTGATACAGAGCATATTATTACCTTACTCCAAACATACTATCTCTATTCCAGTTTGCTTGAATTATTTTCATTTATATGTTGTTTGACGTCTACTCGAAATTAACATGTTTGCATTTTCTCTCACTGCCAGAAGTCTGAGCACATGCTATCAAGACCAAGAAATTGAGGATAATGAAGAATCCTTGTACAAAATTGTTCTGCCCTGACATTTGATGTAAATGAAGTCATATCATCAAGAACGTTTCAAGTTCTGAGAGTACTCAATTGTTGTACCAAAATTGTAATATTACAGCCTTTTTTTTAATTAAAATATGTAACTTTATATATATGTTAGTGTTTATATATCAATTTAAGTGTAAAAATGCAAAAAAAAAAAAAATTAATTTTTTTGGGGCATTAAGGGCACCGGTTTTGGCACCGAACCGATGCCAATTGTTTTTTATTTTTTTATTTTTTTGGGGCATTAAGGGCACCGGTTTTGAACCGAACCGGTGCCCATTGTAATTAAATACCAAAAAAAAAACGTGGCAATGTTTTTTAGCACCGGTTAACCGGTGCCAAAAATATTAATTAGCACCGGTTAACCGGTGCTAAAACTAACAATTGCCACTGGTTTTGAATCGGTGCTAAAATTTTTTTGCATCCCTGAAATCTAAATCGGTTCAAAGCTGGTGCGAAAGGGGGGGTTTTGAACAGGTGTACATTTCATATTTTCTACTAGTGATTATGTGTGTTCTACAGAAGGAAAGAGAAATTCGGGTGACAAAGAAAACAAAATTAGTTGAAATGGTTGATGAAGAGAATGTAAATGTGAAAACAAGAAAGCCAAGACAAGTAGCCATTACACGATCTGATTGCAAGGCATGCATAAGAGCGAAGTAAATAAAGGACAGTTTGAGGAGGTGGCACATGTATTACAACATAACCACGAGCTAACAAAGTCACAATGGCATTATTTGCATCGTTCTGAAAGAAAAATGAAAGAAGAAAAAGCTAAAGCAATCAAAATAATGAAACCTTCAGGTCTAACTACAATGGACACTTACGATTACATGGCTACAGAAGCTAGAGGAGAATAGAGTGTAGGACACAATGTTGTAGATCACCTGAATTTCTGCTCAAGGTTAAGAATGGAGCAAATTAAGGCTGGAGATGCTCAAACTTTAGTGAACATTTTAAATCAGGAACAATAAGAGGATCCAAACTTCTTTTTTAGAGTGAAGTTAGACAATGAAGGAAGAATTTCCAATATTTTTTGGTGAGATTCAATGATGCTAGAAGACTATAGGATATATGGAGATGTGCTTGTCTTTGATACAACATATAGAACTAACCGATATAATCTTATATGTGCTCCATTTGTTGGCATAAACAATCACTGGCATAATTGTATGTTTGCATGTACTTTTATTAGGGATGAAAAAACAGAATCGTTTGTGTGGCTACTAGAAACTTTCAAGAAAGCTATGGAGGATAAAACACCAACTTCAATATTCACTAACCAGGACCAAGCAATGGCAAATGCAATTGAGCGGGTAAAAAGTTTATATTTACATGTTACCCTAACTAAAAAGTTTTGACAACATACAATATTTGACCATCAAAGCACACGTTACCCTTTCTAGTGCATAAAGTGACCATTTTAACTCCATAAAGTGACCCTTTTTAGTGTATGAAGTGACCCTTTTATTTTGAATGTAGGTGCTTCCTAATACAAGGCATAGACTTTGTATCTGGCATTTGGAACAAAATGCAATAACCAGATTTGGGGCTCTAAAAAAAGATAAAGAGTTTAAGTATGCATTCAACCAGTGCTTAAAGGGGTGTGTGACAGAACAAGAATTTGAAGAAAAGTGGCAGGCAATGATGCAGAAATATGACTTAACAACACACTCTTGGTACAAAAGAGTGTACGAATTGAAAGAGAAATGGTGTCCCGCCCTTAGTAGAGATTTCTTTTCAGCACGAATTTTGTCGTCACAAAGGAGTGAAAGCACTAATCATGCTATAGGGTTCAAAGCAAGTAAAGCAACTACCTTGATAGAATTTAATACCACATTTAAGAAGACAACCAATCGTTGGAGAAGCACAAAGAAATATGATGAGTTTACCTGTAGCAAGTTAATAGCATTCACTTCATTGCCACTGTCCGGAATGCTAAAGCATGCTGCACAGGTAAAAGGTTATACTCAAAAGTACATAAATAACACAAAATATATAGCAACTTAATTGTACCTACATGATTTTGGTGCACAAGTTTTCACTTTGTCACTCTTCAGAGATTTTGAAGAGGAGTTTGGATACTCTATGGCAACAACTATTCAAATGATAGGGAGAACTGAAGAATGTGTATTTTATCAAGTATCCCTAGAAGACAAGCCATGGTCTGCACATCAAGTAAACTATATACATGAGAGCCAATGTGTATGGTGTACTTGCAAACATTTTGAAGCATCTGGATGGCTACGTTATCATTGCATCAGAATTATACATCTACATTCAGTAACAAGAATACTAGACAAGTATGTTACAAAAAGATGGACTAAGTTTGCAAAAATAGAGGCATGGAATAGGTTGAAGAATCAAGATCCTACACAACCATATATGCCATGGAGTCAAACAATGATGAAGAATTACTACAATTTAATCTTAAAAAGTCAAGAAAATAAAGAGACAAGAGCATTTATGGAAGAAAGCTTCAGAAATAGTCCAAAACTGGTGGAAGACTTACTTGATACTGCTGCTCAAAGAGAAGAAGGTGCTGAAGTTGCTTCTGACATTCCCGATGTGGCAGACAACACTCAGAGCAATAATGATGTTTCTTCAGCATCCAGTACAAGCATAAATGTACCAACTATACTTGATCCTAAAAGAGCTGTAACTAAAGGAAGAAGCAAGAGAGCAAAAGGAGGGCTTTAAAAAGGCAAGAGAAAAAAGAAACCAGCACTGCCACCTCCACATTCAGAATTTGGATCAAAGACACCTAACATACGACTCTTTTAAGAATTTTTTACTACCAAAGTTAGAACATTTTTTTTATCATTATTATTATACTTTGTATGGTTATACTATTTTTTCTTTTTTTACTCTATGAATAGTTTGGTTAAAATTTAAATGATACTCTTATTAGCACATGTTGTTATAGTGGAAACATGAACAAAGTAAATGCATACCCTTTTGTGCACAAAGGTTACACTTTTGTGAACATAAGTTACTCTTTTTATGCACATAAGTTACTCTTTTTATGCATAAAAGTTACCCTTTCTACCCACAAAAGGTACCCTTTTTATGCACAAAAGTTACCCATTTTATGCACAAAAGTTATCCTTTTTATGCACAAAAGTGACTCCATAAGAAAACTGAAGTGACCCTTTTAACTGAATGAAGCGACCCTTTTACCTGCATGAAGTGACCCTTTTTAGTGCATGAAATGAAGCTATTTCGTGCACAATTATAAAGAAAGATATATACAAAATAAAATTTCAATACTTGATGTATGCACATACATTCAATTTAAAAAAAAAACCACCAAAAATTACATTCAGTTTTAAAAAAAAACCACCAAAAACTATACCATAGAAAATTTAATTACATCATTATACTTGATGTATGCACATACATCAAGTTTTCAAAATATACTACTACACCTAATCACTAACAAGTCAGTTCACTCTTTAGAAGGAGTGTACTTCTTTGTTTGCTTTATTGTCCTTTTTTCTTTGGGGTTTTCTTCTGCTGCATTTGCCTTTTCCTTTTCCTTTGCTTCTTTCTTTTTCTTCTCAGCAATTGCAGCCTTTCTTCTTTCTTCAATTGCCTTGACATAATCATCATTTTTCTTCCTCTCATTGAATTTGACTAATTCTGCCAAGACGTCAGCCCTGGATTCATTCATATCACACAATACAAGTGTGGTATAGATCTGTCCACGCAGAAATTTTCTTCCAACAACCTCACAACAGAAAAAAAAACTTATCAATATGAAAGAACTTAAACAACAGAAAGGGAAAACCAAAAGACAAATAGATGAATACTTACTGTTTTGAGTTCATTTAATATGAACGATTCACCAACAAAATGGAGCATGTGATACATGACAAACACTCCACAGTCCATGTTGTCAACCTTAGTCTTTCTCCATTCCAAATCAACAACTTCAAACTTATAGGAAGGTAGCTGAGTACTCTTTGGATGATTTCTTTTGCCAAGAAAAACACCCAACTGAACACATTGATAAAAAATATAAAAGTTTATAATCCATTGAATACAACAAAAAAATTAAGCTGAAACAATAAACTTCTGTATACACAAAGCATATCACTTTTCAATAACAGGAACATACCAGATGAGAAGACAACTCTCTAAAGTAGTTAAGAGTAGAATCACGCCAAATTGTATTGTCAAGTTAATAAATCAACTCTTTTGCTTGACCAACAACAAACAAAACGTAGTGATCCTCAACAAGAATAGGAACATAGATCTGAAATAGTAAAATTAAAAGTGGTTTAGACAGAGCATTTCACAAACATAACTCTTTTTAAGGGTATGATATTAGTTTAGCATGAAATATACTAGTTCAGAATCCATTATATCACATTCAGGATTCTCGTAGCAGACCCACACTTCCCATATACCGTGCAAATCGTTAACAACATTAGAATTGTCACCTTGCTCAAGCTCACAAACATGCAACAATGCAAACTATTAAAGTATATAAAAATATAAATATAAAGTCAATGTATTTAAATATAAAATATCAAGTTACTTACACTTTGCCTCACACCAAAAAAGAATCTTCGAGGACCAGAAGACTCAAAACATGCTACCTCATTCAAATACAGAGCATTGCAATCAACAATGCACCATCGAATCTTATGTGGAATAGTAATGGACACCATATCTTCTCTTGGAACTAGAAAATTCAACCCAAAATTCACAAGGTTATCACTGCAACGATAAAAAAATAAGATAAGCATTAAAAAAAATCTAGTAAAAAAAAAAATGGATAAAAGAATATTTATGACAGAAAATGACACTTAACTTTTTATGCATTGATTCATCCTTCAACAAAGAATGATCAAGAACTTCCAAATGTAACCGAGGCAAACTGTCGAAAATCTGAACATTACCCCTCATAAAAAGAGTAACAAAAGGCACCTTGTGACCTACTAGCCACAGTCTAGTGAACATAAAGATTTATTGGATCTGATAATACGTCCAGGAACATTTTCATTAGCTCTAGGAACATTTTCATTAGGTCCAGGAACATCTTCATTATAACCAGACTCAGAAACATCTTCATTATTACGACGTTCAAGACCATCTTCTTCACGAAACTGAAAAAGCTCATGTGCAGACTTCATCTTCAAACACTCCGCAATTATGCCATCTAAAAGCTTATGATAATGAGGATCAGAGAGTAACTGTTCAGTTTGAGAAACTGCTACAAGATCCTCATAAGACAATGAAATAGTTCTTTTAGAAAGAATATTGGTAACCAAATTACTCAAAGTTTTAAAACCCTTTGACTGAACGCTTGAAAAAACATCCATATTTCTTTTAAGCAAAAGAAATGATTCATGAACAACCTACAAACAGAGAAACAAACAAAAAACTAAACAAATGTAACAAAGAAAAATAATGAAAAAGTTACTTAGACTGAACATTTAGGGTAACTTTAGTTCACATAAAGGGTAACTTTAGTGAACATAAAGGGTAACTTTTGTGCACATAAAGGGTAAGTACTAAACATATAAAAAAACACTTACATCAGTTGAAATTTATTTGATTTCATCATCAGTCATGACACCATCTGGAAGCTCAAATTGAACAAAGTGGCCAATTGTACCACTTGAAGAAGCACCACCAACTAAACCACACTGATCAGATCCCAAAGTAAGAGGTTTCTTAATATCAGTTTGGCTAATTGCAGATTGTGACAAAGGATATGTAGATGTATCCAATGGTCCCTACCGAAAACCACCAACTTTAACCTCTAAATTAATCCGACTCTTAACCTTAGCATCTGTCCAATGTTGAATCAAAGGAAGGCTACAACTTTCCTTTTCTCCTTGAAAGTTTAAACGGTGAAAATACAGAATTTGCAAAACCAATAAACATCCACTAACACTTTGAACAGTTAGATCATTGTTATACTTATCAAAAGACTTTTTAAACTTCCTCAAAACATAAGAACACCAATCAAAAGTTTTTATTTCATCAACTTCTTCAGCAGCCTTTAGTTACTTCAAAGAAACTATCCTATTAGGAGTAGGAGCTAAAAAGCTACACATAGCATGAACCACAAAAAACCTCTTAAATTATACCCCTCCATCAACCAACTCCTGCATCCGAGACTCTAATTTTGACAAAGGAATAAATTGCTTATTAGAAACATCAAAATCAGATCTCCATACCTGAATAATACAGTTGTCTACACTTGCAACTTCAGCATTTTTCTTGAGTTCAGGAACAGGAATATCACCCATAGGCAAGCAAAACACATCACATACATCATTCCTAGTAACTACAAATTCTTTGCCACTAGAAACAGTAAACATGCAGCTACCAGCATCAAAGTTTTCAACAAGCCAAGGTAGCATTTTACGACAGAGAGTTTTTAGTTTTAAATGTATCAAACCGCCAAAACCAACTTCAACAACACCTTGTTTTTGTTTATCACTAAAGTTCCGCATCAAATTTTCGAAGGTATGTGGTCTATACCTTGTAATCAAACGTCTATAGTCCCTAAATAATTAAAAAAATAAAGTAACTAAAACAATATAGACCACAAACAAAATGTAATAAAAAAATGCAAATCAAGAATAATTGAAAACATGTTCTCTTATGCTGAAGTATCAGAATTAGAATTAGAAGCCAATTCCAATTGAGAACTCCTCTTTCTCTTCTTTACATTAGGTACTGGTTTGACATTCTTAGGTACTGTTTTGACCTTAGCAGACTTTCCAGGCACTGTCTTGGCCTTCCTAGGTACTATTTTACCCTTAGCAAACTCTTCAGGAACTGTTTTGGCCTTCTTAGGTACTATTTTGGCCTTCTTAGGTACTATTTTAGCCTTAGCAGACTCTTCAGGCACTATTTTGGCCTTCTTAGGTATTGTTTTGGCCTTATCAGACTCTTTAGGCATTGCTTTCCTCTTTGAGGGCAATTTATAATGATATCCACCTATAGAACCACCTAAGTTATGCATAATGATTAATACAGAGAAATTACCACAAATTACTCTTGGGAAAATTCAGGTTGTATGCAAAAAAGTTACCCTTTGTATGCACAAATGTTACCCTTTTTATGCATATAAGTGACCTATATACCACATAGTATTACTCCCCTTTACTTTGATTTCTAAACACAATGACATGCTGCCTATAAATTCTCATACACTACATAAAAAACACATTTATTTCAAAATTGAATTCCAATTATCATAATCTTCTAAAAAAAAGCAAAAAATCAAAGAGCAAATTCTGAAAAATAACATGCAAAAGTTGTTTGACATATAACAACACATGTATAAGCAATTTTTATGAAATTAACTACAATAAATGAAAATTTAAATCAAAATTTAACATATTAACTTCAAAATTCAATTCTAATTACCATAATTTGCATAAAAAATAAGCAAAAAATTCAAGTGCAAACTCTAAAAATAACATGCACTAGTAATTCGACATATAACAACACATTTATAAGTGAAAATTGAGTTGAAAATTCTGAAAAAATCATAAAAATTATGAAAACACACCTTCAACATCCGACGACTTCTTTGTACTCTTCTTCTTCACCATTGCAGAATCTAACAGTACAAAAACGAAACCAAAAACAAAAAAAATAAAAAAAACCTAAAAATCGAAGAATCAAAACAACTAAAACTAACAAAAATCTCAAAAAATTAAGTAAACAAA